GGTAATTACAGTGAATGTTATCCAGTGTTATGCACCCACCAATGATAGCAATGACGACATTAAAGATCGATCCTATGAGCGGCTACAATCAATCATAGAGAAGTGCTCAAGAAAAGACCTAACCATTCTAGTGAGAGATCTAAATGTCAATTCCGAAGGACAATGGAAGATGTGAGAACCAGCAGAGGAAGTGACGTAGCTTCAGATCACCACCTAGTTGTGGCCAATTTAAAACTGAAGCTAAAGAAAACTGGACAACTGGAAAAACAGCATTAACAAGGGTTAATACAGCCTTCCTTCGAGATACTGACAAATTCAATGGATTCAAGATAGCTCTCAACAACAGGTTCCAAGCCTTACAGGATCTACTGAAGGGAGAAGAAACTACTATAGAGGACAACTGAAAAGGTATCAAAGAAGCATTAACTTCAACGTGTCGGGAGGTTATGGGTCGCAACAAGCATCATCAAAAAGAATGGATCTCTATCGAAACCCTGGACAAGACTCGAGAAAGGTAGAAAACGAAAACAGCAATTAACAACAGCCGAACAAGAACAGAGGAAGTCAAGGCACAAGTTGAATACACAGAAGCAAACAAGCAAGTGAAGAGGAGCATTAGTGATGACAAGCAGAAATACGTGAAAGACATAGCAGCGACGGCGGAAAAAGCTGCAAGAGAAGGAAATATGGAACAACCTTACAATACAACGAAGAAACTAGCAGGGAGATACAGTAAACCAGAGAGATCGGTCAAGGACAAAGAAGGAAGGCTAATCACTGAAATTTAAGAACAGCGGAACAGATGGGTAGAATACTTCGAGGAACTCCTGAATGGACCGGCTCCAATGGATCCACCGGACATCGAGGCAGCACACATAGATCTTCCTATAGATGTCAACCCACCAACGACGGAAGAAATCAGAATGGCCCATCATCAGACAAATCAAGAGTGGGAAAGCAGAAGGACCCGACAATATACCAGCTCAAGCACTGAAGTCAGACATCGAAGTAACTACAAACATGCTTCACCTTCTATTCAAAAAGATTTAGGAGGAGGAACAAGTGCCGACGGACTGGAAAGAAGGACACCTCGTCAAGATTCCAAAGAAAGGAGATCTGAGCAAATGTGAAAACCACAGAGGCATTACCCTAATGTCAGTACTAGGGAAAGTCTTCAACAGAGTGTTGTTGAACCGGATAAAAGACGCAGTAGACGCCCAACTTCGAGATCAACAAGCTGGATTCCGTAAGGATCGGTCGTGCACAGACCAAATTGCAACACTACGGATCATCGTCGAACAATCAGTTGAGTGAAATTCATCACTATACACCAACTTCATTGATTATGAAAAGGCATTTGACAGTGTAGATAGGAGAACATTATAAAAACTTCTATGACCCCATGGAGGTCCTGAGAAGATTGTCAATATACACAAGGGGAAGACCAAGATCCCCAGATACAACACGGAGAACAGCAATCCAGTCACACTTGACGGCAAAACTCAGGATGTAGAATCCCTCACATACCTGGGAAGCATCACCGATGAACAAGGAGGTTCAGATGCAGACGTAAAGGCGAGGATTGGCAAAGCAAAAGCCACGTTCCTACAATTGAAAAACATATGGAACTCAAAACAGCTTTCAACCAATATCAAAGTCACAATCTTCAATACCAACGTCAAGGCAGTTCTACTGTACTAAGCTGAAACTTGGAGAACTACAACCACCACCATCAAGAAGGTACAAGTATTTATAAATAGCTGTCTACGCAAGATACTCAACATCGATTGGCCGGATACCATCAGTAACACAATTCTGTGGGAGAGAACAAACCAGCTTCCAGATGAAGAGGAAATCAAGAAAAGACAATGGAAATGAATAGGACATACATTACGCAAATCATCAACCTGCATCACAAGACAAGCCCTAACTTGGAACCCTGAAGGGAAGCGAAAAAGAGGAAGGCCAAAGAACACATTACGTCGGGAAATAGAAGCAGATATGAAAAGCATCAATAGGAACTGGAAGGAGCTGGAAAGGATTGCCCAGGACAGGGTTGGATGGAGAATGCTGGTGAGTGGCCTATGCTCCTTTATGAGGAGTAACAGGCGTAGGTAAGTATGTCAGCATATACTAGTGGGTTCAATCACTGGAATGTATATATATATATATATAAATATTCTGGAATGTTCGTATAATAATCCCCACTTAATTGGTTTATTATCGGTCCTCGATTATAAAGATGACGAATATAATAGCAGTATATTTCTAACAAATGACAACAGCTTTCATTATAGAAATCCATACAGATTTTTCACGAACACATTGTTAGCCCACAGTTGTGCTGCGAAAATCGATCAGACTTTATCAATTGTCTGTCAAGTCGTTTGTTCTAGACTGATTCAATTCCAAGATTATTGATGGAAAATGTTTGCTTTTATCCTGCCATTTAAAAACCATACCTCTATTGACCAAATATGAACGCTTGATGAAAAACATGTCTACTGGAGTTATAGAACATTTATTGAATGCATTTGGTTTTAAATTCTTTAGAAGCTATAATCTATAACAGTTCAAGTAATAAACTAGCTGAAGATCAATTAGCGGACAAACGCCATGATATTTCCTTACTTATATCAATACACGTGGACAACTGCGAACACTCATTCGATTGGAAAATTGTGGAAGTCTTGGACAGTGAAAATTCCAAAAACTCCAGAGAATTTTTAGAAGCTTGGCACTCAGGTCAATCAACAATCAACAAACACGACGAAATCGATGCAATTTATCAACCAATCAGAAAAATTATGAACAAATATAGGACCAAAAATCAAACCAATGGGAGATACAACCAAAACAAAGGAGTAAACAATGACAGATTTAAGGTCAATAAAAACCAATCAACATCGAGGTCTACAGGACAAGCTGTGAGCCATATTTAGAGAAATTCGAACACTTCACTTCTATCTGCAGTTTGTGCTGATGATGTTGTTCGGAAGAACGATGAAAGCCCAACGACCAAATCATCCAGCTCGGAGAACAAAACTCCATCAAAACCACCCACCTGAGCTACAAATCTCCACCATCTCAAGAGCTGAACTTTGAAAGCTAGACATGTCATCCATTACCAAATGATAGACTGAAGATAGGTGATACTTTAATATTCGTCACAAATAAACTGATGAGAGGGATATTGAAATGCATTATTAGCCAAACCCAGTATAGGGTCAGTGAAAAGTCACTGAGCCATGGCCAAATCATCCTGTAGTTGGGTCACTGAAAATCGAAAGGATCATCGATCCCTGTTAAGGTCAAGCACAACCAACGCGCATCAACTAATTGTAGGCTATAGACTGGCCTATGCAATGGTGGTCACACTTTCGCTTTAACCTTCTCTAACTAATATGTTTCTGTGGTAAGGTTCTTTGCGTTATACGGTTTTCATAGCAGTGACAGTATCTTGATACGACGGAGGGGTAAACCTCGTTTGGTGTTGACCGTGAGGCGTGACTTTGAAATTGGCAGTTGGTCACACTATTCCTGTCTGACTGGAGTAGGTCCCCAATCATTCGACAAAGATCATGTACGTTAGTGATCAATACCAGAATAGTGTAAACCTTAATAAATTGTTCGACGAATCCAATCGATTTCTATAATACTTATGGTTAATTCTTCAGTGTACTGTGCATATATGGGAAAGTCTCTTTGTTTGTATAGAACAAAGATAAGAACCGTGTATATCGCGGGAAACCATAGACACAGTAGCTCAGTTTTTAAGATTATTTCCCTTATATAGACGGTTACTCAGCATCATCAAATGAAAATAATGATAACTACGCTGCTGGTATGAAGGTATCTCAATATGTAGATGACGATTTGCGTAGCCTTAAAAACGTTCCTAATCGGTTACTTAACTAGTGTTTGATATGGATTGCACGTGCCAACACAGTTACATTTTTTTAGACATCCTTTGCAGGTAGAGTTGGAATGAATTTCGATGTGATTAGGCACATTCTCTTTTAATTCTTGGAAACTATTACTTAGATGTCATTATAAAAACGAATTTGAGATTTCACTAGATTATGGCAGTTTGTTATGATTTCATTTGATCCACTCTGTCAAGGTGTTTCTGTTTATCAAATGGGTCGTTTTGACCTTACCACGTATTTTATAATCTACTATTGTAGCAGTATCAAAAACCATTACGTGTGACTTTACTAGTGCAAGTTTGTTTTCCTTGTTTCAGGGCAACAGAAAGTGAATATACTAGAAGAAGAAGAACAAGCCTTGCGCAAGTTAAACCTGCGGGATAATGAGTAAAACCACTTTGTAATAGACTTCCGTATTTGTACCTAAACCGCGTAATTCAATTTTTTTAAATATATCTATGTTGTGCTCGTACGCCGTGTTCTCACTTGAGTAGCATCTGTCGGTTCTGACTGTTGTGTTGTGTTTCAGATCGCTCCTGCTCGCAGATCAACGCTAATAGTACGTGCTACACTATGGACCTCTGTATTCACATGAATTTTTAAGTAATTATTGACTTATATGTGTCTGTCATCTATAATCTATGATCTCTACTCTATCCACCTTATGTAAATGCTGAGTCACTGTACCCGATATGTAAGCACTTTTACTTACTCCGCTTTTCGCCTTTTGTTGTCTTCTCGCATCAACGAAAGTTAGACATATACACATTCGAAGAGCTTTCTCGTTTAGTCTTTTGTTTTCACGGTGTGTTGATATGGTGAGCCCGCAGAATATATAAGAATTAGAGTCTATGCTTCATAACTAAGTGATGTAAATGTATCAATTAAAAACATTAAAACTGTAACCGGTAAACTTAACTGGTTGTTAGGGATTTATCGCTCTTAATTAAAACGAAAATATTTATCAAATGGAAGAAAAGAACAAAATACTTAAGAATTCAATGGCCTACTGGGTTTAAATTTAAGTATAGAAATGGGGATCTGGAGCTATTTTGAATGGTTAGCAGACAAGGTCACTTCGTGACCTCTTGTCTGTGTTTAATTCAATAGTAGTAGTTTTGAGCATTTTGAGGTATCGTGCAGTCAATATCTTGTTTCGATGATCAGGCTGTTTTAATATCACACATTTATTACCGCCATTAAACTTTCAAATGTGAGCGAGTTTTATGTGTTCCGTGGATTGACTCAATTTTTCTACTTTTCAAATCCTAGACATTCGGGAACGCTGTACCTACTTCATCAAAACAAGACGCGTTTCAAGGCTATACACTAACCTACTAAAAACTAAATGTTATGTGATGTGTGATTCGATTTTTCCCCATAATTGCAAGTAAGTGTTCAGACCATCTTAACAGAGTTTCTAGGTTTTATTTCAATGCAGAGCAGTCTCGCGTTAAGTGGAAGGAGTCCATAAAAAGTATCCTAGTTGTTCATAAATTTTGTGATCTCAATGTTATTGAAAGTTTGAAATCGTTTGTCCACTACGTGCTAAAGGTTTGTCCTCAGATTTTGTTCCCATTCGATAGGTCATTTGTTTTCCTAACTAAACAGTACTGTTTTTTGGTGAGACCAAAGTTTATGAATGAATTTTGAGCGATATGACTTCGAGAATCTCCATACGCTATGATTAAATGAAGGTTGTAAGTTAGTGGGAGAAGTCAGAATTGGGGTTTAGAGTTAGAATGTAACGTTAAGAATTCGAATTAGGGTTTTCGTCTCAAGCTGAAATAAACTATAGTTCCAGAATGCTATTTAGCCATATGTATCGTTGAGTTTTGCGCTAAATTCCAAGAACTGCCATACTAAATTTGATACGTCTGTTCATAAATTATAGTGTCTCGTTCTCTCGAAATAAACATACTTATAGCTCACTCTAAACTATTTGTAAAATTTTATGCAGAAGCTCGTAGCACCAACAGTCATGTACCTAATTAATTGGCGAGCTATTATAGTACCTGGAAACCCTCCGAGCTAACTTGGTACATATTTTATTCGATTCGTACTGAGGAAATCTGAATTGAATTCAATGGGATTTTCTAATGCCAGAAAACCTTGTAATGATAAGGGCCTCGTAGTTTTGACTTCAGTCGAAATGCTGTGGTTTTAAATTTAATGTTGGTGGCATAGACTGTTTGTATTCAAATACAGCCCTGATTGTAACGTAGTGTGGTGCTCAAACTGATTGTTTTTCACTACGTACAAACATTTGGAAGTAAATGACAAACTGGCTTTCCAACGATGACTAAACCGATAAACCAAAATAGTTTAGTTTCCAGTCAACGGACATCGATTACCATAACTACCGTCTAATTTTAAAAGAGTAATTATGTAGACCCTATTTTTCTTATATTGGTGCTCCAATTTTCTGTTAGGATGAAGTATAATTTTGATTTAAAGCGTACTCAGCTGTTGGATTTGCTAGACATGTAGTTTGTTTTGACGTTAATTAAACACTCGTTTTATGCTTTGCAAGTAGAAATACCACGTAGAGTCAACAGTTTCAAGTATAAGCTATTCAGGACTGATGAAAAAACGGAAAATTGCCAATTACAGTTATTTCTGTGTAGTTATCTACAGGTAGTTTGAACTGCACATTTTATCTTCAAAATAAAAGTAGTATTACAAAGAACACAACATAGTTTTAAGACGCGTATCATCAATGATTTTTTCAAATAATAGTGATCATGATTTTGGGGTTCTGTATAGTTTTATGCTTGGGCTATTTATTACTAACTCAACTTAAAAAACGGTCGTTTCGTGACAGGATATCCAGATAAATTTCTATCTTTATATCGTTAATCATAGAAATGGGATCTGGCTATCTATTTGGAGTCGATTACGTTAGATGAACTGAAGAATGATGATTTATTCTACCCAATTATCCAACAGTACGTAAATTTGGGTAACGATGAATTCAAGCAAGTCACTACTGAACATGATGTTTCCAGACTTTGTGAAAATGCAGCAGAAAGTTCCTCTAAAATTAATGAAAAAAGCTCGATCAGGATCTTTGATCATACTGTGCGAAATAAAATTGATTTAATTGTTTGTCTTGGTGGTGACGGGACTCTTTTACAAATTGGATCGATGTTCCAGGTATATATATGTATATAGTCATGTGTTTGATTATTTTAACTCCTTTTTTAAGAAGCAGATTTTGAATTTCTTGTGGTATGTGTTCAGAAAAGACTTATTGACGAATACTGTCTCTAAATAAAGCGGTTTACTAGGTGATAAGGCAGTCTTAGTATTTCAAGACATCATTTATTTATTTAAGTACAAACATTGGTACGAAAAGGCACCAGGAAATATACATGTCACACAAAGAGAAAGGAAGGTGACTATAATAAGAAAAGAACGAAAATAGATAGAAATTAGTGTATAAGAGTGTAATAATAGTGAGAGTTCAGTTATGGAAAGTACAATCAGTAAGAATTCCTCCAGGTAAAGAGGTTCCTTTCACTTATATGAAAAAAAGTAAGAGAGTTACAGCAGGATCGCTATTAGCTTCTACTATAAGCCATGTTTGATAACGTCTCAGGCCACTATTCCTCCATCTCTAGAACCCTTACCATGGAGCCGTGAAAAACCAACAGAAGCCAGTCCTATACTGCTTTCTTTCATACCACGACACCATGTCGTGCACTAACCACTTGTCCGCATTTCCCAAACAGTCCCAGCGTCGGAAAATAATGTACGATGTGGAATTCGCTGGGATGAAAAAGTCAAAAACACTAGAATAATAAAAACATTCTTATATAATCACCCATTTTCACCGTTCACATTTACTTACATTTAGTAGTAAGGTAAGCAGAAAGGTTTTGTCGAATTTTGATTGAGTACAGAATCACTATCTATGTACCTTATATATCTATATCTCGACGATTAATACTCACAACGACGAAATCTAAGGTGTTAACAAGTCTGCGACTAAATACAATACCATAGTATTTCGTGCTAAATATTTTTATTAAGCAGTTTATATATATATATATATATATATATATATATATATATATATATATATATATCAGTTTTTGTTTCTCTTAATCATGTAGGGGATCACTCCTCCCGTAATTGCTTTTCGTCTGGGCACACTTGGATTTTTGACTCCGTTTCCTTTCAAAATGTTTAGAACCCAAATGAAGAGTGTTCTTGAAGGTTAGCTAATATTTATGATAATTCGGTCAATAAATCCTAAGTAACTCGTCGTAATGTATTTTATTGTATGTAGTTATTCGTTGTGACAGTACTTAGTAGGTGAATATTACCAAACCCGTACTTTGCTGTTCGCTGCTCTTCAGGAATTTAAGCATGTTGTGAACTTATATTTATCCAACCAGTTCGCAGTGAATCTTAGAAGCTTCTGTCTTTTATCAGTTAATAGCAGGTGCATACACTCTTTGTGTTCTCCCTAATTCTAATCTCCTGATTCCTCCTTGTCTCTTTTTTTCTCTTTCCAAATTTATTTCACTGGATCATACTCTTCAAATAACATCTTCAAACCTTAATCTTCCCGATTACTGCTTATACTCTTACTCTTACCTCTACCACTACGGGATTTGAATCGACAACTGCATCTCGGTGCTAATGTGGTGTGGCAACTCGAACTGATGTACGTACGTACGTAGTTCTACGTTGTTACTGACTAGTATTTGTTAAGGTTACACGATAGGGTGTGTCATGCTAGTTGATTGAGATAGTTTAACGTATGAATTACTTAAACTAAAACGGATATTGTACATTTTGAGAGTGATTGTATATTTTGTGCTTTAAAAAAATATCATGTAATGCATAGGATGTCTTCACGTATATTTATCCATAATCTAGAAACCTGATTTCCTAGCATCCTAATTTTATAAGTATGTATGAGTTGTTAGGATATAATCTTTCAGATAATTGTTTATCTAATTTAGGAAGGTTTAAAGTTATATCTATTGAATGCCCGTTTGTCTAGCATTCCTTTTACACGGAACTACACTCTACTCACCCTAAATCAAAACAAATATAAGAAAACAAGACAAATTCTAAAAAATGGGAAAAACAGAAGGCAAAATAGTAAAAGTACAAGGGTGTTGACAGATCTAATTGAACGCTTGAATTGGTTTCCTAAGCTATTTTAATAACCCCAGGCTAATTCTGCACGACACTAGAGAAAAGGCGCAAAATGTGGAAAGTACGTTTTACCCCAAGGTTAGTTTATATGCAGAAAATCAAGGATATTTATTGCGCTTCAGATAGCCTTGGGCTACTGGAACCCTAATAAACATAGTAGCACGGTAGGTAATCATCCGATCAGAAATGTGACGCGTGGCTCATCACTTTCTAGATCTTTTTGAGAATCTTCTATTCAGTGCTGATTGGATGAAATGTTTCCCCACGTTTTCAGGGCCCCTCTAGGCTGTTTTCGAGGAGTACTTTGGATCTCTCTAACAGGTGCATGTAAAATTCACAGGAAAATCTATTTTATTCCCAATTTATCCACTAGCACTAATCAGCTGGTGTCCTGTAATTTGAGTTTGCACTCGGTATACACTTTTCAAAATTATATCCTGCTAACAAACTCTCATATGGACTTGGACTTGTATTTTTCTATCCCATTCAGGTTCATCTTATTGTGTATTACGAACTCGGCTTTGTTGTCAAGTTATTCGCAGTAATGTTATGAATCATATTGGCAATAATAATCCTGACATACAGAATACATCAACTGCCAGTAATTGTAGTAGTGAGAATCAATCTCAGGCATCTAACTGTTCTAACGATATTAGTTCACGCTCCAGTTCACCAGATACTGAATATCATGTGAGTATTTTCTTTCATTTTTTCTGATAATTATGTTTAAATTAAACAAAATTTACCCTTCCACCGTTACTGTTTATCATGACGATTTATTAAATGTATTTATTTATCTGTAAGAGTATTTTATAGATCATTTTACAATTTCTGAGACAAAATTATGCTACATAAGAACTATGGGGAGTAATTTCCTACAGATTCAATTCTAAACTATTCTCTAGACTGTCGAACACAGTCTTAACTTAGCCAAAGTCAGAACAAGTAAGTTATTTGGCTCGACAAACTTCATTTGTTTCGAACGGTAACCAGAGTACAGGAAAAATTAGTCAACAAACCGAATATTGTTTTATGATAAACATTAAATTGTGATTGCTGAATAACCAGGTCATAGTTATACAAGGTCTAAGGGAGTCAATGTTGTGGTGGGCGTCTCATGTTATCATTGGTGGGTTTGTTTATCGATCACACTTTACAAGAACCTTCACCTAAATTTGAACGATTTGTTTTATAGTAGCTAATGTTAAGACATTAAGGTAGAAAAATATATTTATGAAATTTCAGCTTCGTCCAACGTCGAATAGAAGTATTGTCAAAATATTGTTTTTGAAGGTAATAGCCAAACTATGTCCCAGACATTCACTTGACAGTAAAGCGAGAATTACTTAAAAAACCTTAATCGTTAATTATTATTTCCTAAAGTTTATGACTATCAACAAATAAGATGCTAAAACAAGCTACTATCCCTAAAAGGAATGTGTTTGTTAAGTTGCCATTAAAAAAGGATGATATCAGGGTTCAGAATAGGTGTCATCTAGTTTGGTGTCAGCATTTCACTAACCTCTCCTGTCTTCAAATTCAATGACCACATATTACACAAAAAGCGTACTCAGGAAAATTAACTTTTACAAAATATTTTCTGTTACCTCTAGTTATATTTATCTACCTACATGTATCTAGAAATGCATGTACTTTGAAAGAATAGAGAGAGTCTCATCTAAAAGAATCTCAATACACATACCGAAGGATATGATCCTAAATGGCTTCAAATTGCGAAGTAGTGTCACAGGAAGAGAAGTGTAACGTATACAAGTCATTTAGTAAATTTTGACACTACCTTCGTACTGATAAATAAACATTATAATCTCGAATTTCTACGTTATTTTATTTTATTTATACAAATCCAGTGCATATATGGGAGTTTTAGAGGACACAAAATTGCATTGTATTCACTTTATCTCATTGTGTTTATTATTCTTATTTCATAAAACATATTTCCTCCATTATGAAACTATTTCTTGATTTTAGTGTCACTTCGTATTAACCCTGTAAAAGTCATTTGGTGTGGTTAATTGTTATAACTCGTGGCCTTATGCCCTATGAATATATAACGTAATGATACCGCCAATTAGAGAACAGCGATTTATCGGCCGCATCAATGGCGCGTAAACCCGTATCGGTCCTGCTTCCTGCCTAGCCCTGCCCGTTAAGTCTAGAACACCAATCTCAGCCTCTGAGATATGAATCATGTACTTCAAACATACTGGGTTTATATACAAACCGGACATACCACATCGTATCATAAAATAGAAAATAACATTTGTACAAGATCTAGCCAAAAGTGGCTGTGAATGTGGGAGACTGTAATTAATAGACTGGGTATAACTCAAGGACGGTAAATCGTATAATAATAGTCTATGGATCAAAATAAAGCTTATAATAAGAGGAACATGAATATGCATAATTTAGCTACTTAATAATTATACAATAAAAATATATGTATCGTATTGGTCCATAAACAATTCCTAAAAGTTACCATTCATAATTTCCGTTGGGATATAACATTAATAAAATTATTTGTTGTAATTAATCAATCATGACTTAAATTCCTTATATAAACAATTATAAATTTAAGTAGAAGGTTGTTTGTTAGCGCGATATAGATTGGATTAAAGCATGTTCCGTGGAGGATGGTGTTAGGACACGCTAATTGACCATTTCTTCTTGAAGAAGACTCTAGAATATTCTCGTGCGAAGAACATAATTATACTAACGTTTTTTTCTCATTGTGATTTCTACTTTCATTCAACTTTTGTTTATGTAAGATGTAATTACATTTCTGTTCAACCATGTTCTGGTTTAGGGACCTGTCGAGTGAATTAGTGTCCAAAGAATACTAAGCAATAAGAGTATCTAGGTCGCAGTAAGAGAAATCATAACATTGTTTGAATCACAAGTTTCATAATTTCAATTATTATATTTCGTATATGTCAATTTACATTATTATTAAATTCATACGTCATGGTAGATCATTTTAAATTATTTGTCAGAAGTACTTTGTTTTTGCTATTCATATTCCCTTTAACTTAAGGCAGCGTATTGAATCACATGTACATTCGAATTAAAATAACTGATAATCCTTAGTTGTGAGGCTCCTTAATCGTGACGTTTTTATTGTCTGATTCTTTCTTCCTTCTCAATACTTTGCCTCAGTTTTTATGTTGATACGTACGAACAGTTCTAACTTTTACTGTACTAGGTATATGTAGCTATAATTTTAATCAAGTTAATTATTATATCTTCTACGTATTTGTCTGCATTATTTTCTCCTCTCGTTCTATATCTCAACTCATCTCAATTAACCATCTTCATCACCCACTCTTAGTTGAAATTCAGTGCTCTAAGGTTTTGTCCATTGCATATAGTCTTCCTCCGTCATCACTTATTTGCTGCTTATCAACAACATACTGTATACGGTTCATCTTGTCGTATTTTGTTCTTCTCTTTCTGTGACGTCTAATAGCTTGTTAACTCGAACTGATGAATTCTTTTAAGAGATACCTCGTTGTGTCCATGTATCTGTAGAAGATACAATAAAAATTTCCCCCCTTCCATACGTTTTTTATTTGCAAAGATTCTTTTTAGATTCCCCCCCCAACGTTCCTAATGTCCAATACTTCTATCATTATGAACACTTCTGATCACTTTTTCATCCGTTTAGTAGTCTAGTGTTAGTTATTAGAGTAATTTTCTATTGAAAACTTCATTTCGAACCTTAGTTTTTACTATATTTGTATTGTCTATTCGGCTCGTCTCCTTCACTATATTGATACGTTCGTGGTAAACATTTGCGGATAACTCCAACTTGTCTAAATGAAATCTTGACTGAAAATTACCTCCTAATGTTCTATACTCACCCGCTAAATGCACTGAAAAATAATTGGAAATGATAGACTTAAGAAGTATTTAAAACGTTGTAAAGAAAATCAGCCGAGAATTTTAGCAAAATCAGATTCTTCCTTAAATTAGACAAGTAAAAACAGGTAAAATAGACTTCATGGTCTTAAATAAAAACATACTATTCACTCTACTTAGGGCTGTACTAACCATACATATATTTATATAACTAGATATAAATTTCTCCATTGTATATAAAATTTCCGTCTTTTAAAATTGAATGTAGATTGTCTTAGTAGTATCTGTCCTCACATTTTAAATAACTATTCAGTTGACTGTTTTCACTACTAAACTTTCGTATTATTATCTGTTTTCTTTGTATCATAGTTCCTAAATGACCTAGTTATTGATCGTGGCCTTTCTCCATTTATCTGTGATCTCCTCATTAAGGTGAATGGTAGAGAAGTAACTACTGTAGAAGGCGATGGTAAGTAAGCGTCTAATTTTTTTATTAACGTTTGTGCATATGCAATTGTAGTTATTATTCTTATTATCTTTGCTAAAACAGACTTTTATATACCAATATGACATTATAACTGACCAAATATCTGATTACCGAAGTCACAGATCCTTTGTAATGCAAAATGACTTTAGCTACAATATAATGATGTTAGGTAATTAGACCACGATACTGGATCATGGTGTATTCACAGACACATTGTCCAACTGGAAGTAGCAAACCAGGTAAATGATCATCACTAGTATTTTTACACAAGTCCTAGCAGTCCTCGTCACACAGTGAATCCAAAGTCAAAATTAATCTTTTAGGTAAAATAATAGTCTATATACTTGTCCATCTTTGCTCACTAATTAACCACGTATTACTTTTGCTGAACTCATTGTGAATATTTTCGAAAGGTGATAATTCCTTAAGTCCTAAAGCTAAATTATGACCAGCGGTGTGAGACACTTATCTACCAATGGTATCAGTAGGTGATAGTGCAATGTTCCGAGTTTATTCGACTTAGGAACGTTAATCATTGTTCTCCAAAACCGTGGTCTAAGGGTAAAGTGCTCTTTGTGAGTCTTCAAGGTCCTAGGTTCGACTCCCATCGAGGTTGTTGGTACACAGTGTTGAGGAGTCCCGTACTGGGATGAAATGACTGCCTAGTGCACCTGGCTTTCAATATTTGATTAAATAAAATCAGTTTCCTTTGTATACCCTAAAATCCAACAATTTCCATAAACCTCAACCTAATCACTAATTATTCATGAACGAGTTTTAGGAAACCACATTAAGAACTCTTGGATACTTTGAGTCAGTCGAAGCTGTTTTATTATATTTCATCTGACCTTGTTCCATAGATACAAAATTCAGTAGTGACTCTGGATTTTTTAAAATTTTTAGCTACCTCTGGACATCAATTATACTTCTTCATTTGGTTGATTGCAAAGATTATTTTATTTTCGTATCACACGATGAATTCTGCTTGTAAACCGTTATAAACTCTCAGAGTTCCGAACAACTACTGCGCACCCACAACCTCGTTACGGATTGAAATAAAGGTCTTCCGTTTTCATAAATGTAACCCATTTACGAAGTACATGTTCGTGTAATCGGAGCTTTAAACCATACTTTGTGTTGAAACTGTAGTGAACGAATACAGTGGACTTGAGTGCTGTTAGAAGTATGAGGGCGGTTATCACTTCCCGGTTGCCCACACCGTGGAAGGGTTGTTCTGGAGGTACCTGAAAAGGAAATTGGATTAAAGGTTGTCTTAGTGAACTGAGAGCGTGACCGCAGTGCCCAAGGGACAACTGCTTGAGGTCGGTCACACACGACCTTGTTATGGGTAATTTTTGTGTTAGCTCCGTACTTATTGAGACCTTACCGCCGGAGACGGATATCCGTGGGATAAGGCGAGGTGTGCATTTTTAGGGTCGACCTTTTCTAACCCCGCCCCTCCTTGTGGGAAGGCAGCATCGCTGTCATGCTGGTTGTCTGAAGGAAACACCTTACTGCTGTCACACCTCTGTACAGTCAGCAGTACGACTTCGCCTTCGGACCTTGGGTTTGTTGCTTTTAGTCTTACCGCTCTTCAACCGACCTGTCTGACATGGTAGGACCTTGAGGAACGGTTGTTCCAGCCAGTATAGCTCGGTTGCTTCATCACGATAGGCAAGCCCGACCACCACGTCAAGGTAGCAACAACGGTCGGGTAGTAGTGAACGAAGACCTGGTATGAAAAATAAATTCATTATGAAAACCTTACACTGCATAATTCATTTGCACATCTTCCATCAGCTGTCGCTTACATCCTTTATGATCCTTCCGATTCTCAATTCCTTTTTTCCCCTTTCTGTCTTCAGTTCAATATTCTCACCCTTCCTTTGACAGGTGTTGTGACCTTATATCCGGCTTTTTATCACGTGATTTATCCACCAATCAAAATACGACTTGTACGATCTTAGCACTGTGCCAAACCAATGACGTTCGACCGGTATGAGCAGCCTAGCGTCCTTATTGGTTCTATGTTCGCCTAGCCCGTCCGCTTGAGTCCAGAACACCAATACCAGCTTCCACTATGCGAATCGAATCGATTAATTTATTTCAAACATACTGGGTTTATATATCAACCAAACAGAGCGCAACGCACCATAAAATAGGAAATAACATTTGTACACAATAAAGCCAAAAAGTGTCTGTGAACGTGGAAGGCAGTAGTCAATAAACTGAACATAGCTTAAGAACCGTAAATCGTACAATAATAAATTATAGGTCAAAACAAAGCTTATAACAACGGGAATATAGATATACATAATCTAGTTACTGAATATTTATACCGTGAGAATATATAAATAATATTAGTCCATTAATAAGTCTCAGACTTTACTCGTAACGTAATTTTGACTAGAATATAAAAACAGGCATTCCACTCCTGATCGTTGTTACATACTACTTGTGTTTGTCGACATAAGTACGATACACCACAAAATTAGTGATACTACCCGGTTGCCCAGGACCAAGTAGATGGAAAGGGCAACGCTAATCTGCAACCTATTCGTCGAAAGTCAAAACGTCGTAATTATTGAACCATTGCTTCAATTTTTATAATATGATATCTTTGGACTAATGAGTTATAATCCTGTAGTCCACATTTCCAAATTCAGGATATTACGTATCGAAGAACTAGTATTAATAGAAATGATAATTTGTCTGAGAGATAATATTTTTAAAGCAATAAGAAACTGGTTTCTAGAGGATTCACATCGATTTGTTTAATAAGGTATTGTTTGTCATGTAAATATTCTCAAATTTCTGTGCTCATTACTTCTTGTTAAATGAGGGCTTGCAATCAAGTGGATATAAAAATATTCGTAACTATTTCTTTAATAATTAACCAATCAAAATTAAATTAACTTACATATCAGTTTCCTAGGCATGAGTCATACTCTAAGTTGAAAGGCCAGTGACACTAGCCGGTTGCCCAAAATAAACTAATCAAAGCGGGCTTCAGACCTGAAGATTAATTACTCCGCCTGTAGTTCTTCTAGGTCTACTGCCATTCCCTGACCTGAGTAAAGGAGGTTTGAGTGTGGGCTAGGTAACCCCATCCTGTAGAAAACAATCTTGCTAAGAAAACGCCAACCGAAATAAACAAACTAAACCTGAGTATTAGTGTGTGAATATCATAACTTCTGATTATTTTCTGATGATTGAGCCTTTCTAGAAATTTGTCTGTTAATTGTAGTATCATTTTTAACAAAATAATCACACAAGCTACCTTTGTCTTATCATTTTTAGATAATAATAGGTGTGGTCAATAGTTTGTTACCTATGTATAAACTTAGATGTATACATAGTTACAGAACTATATTTGCTTTCTTTTCTCTCTAATTTCAAGATATATTTCTCGTAGTTGTTCATTAGAATTTTCAAGTAGTATAGTACTTTCTACCGTACCATAGCTATTGTAATCCTAAAAAAGAGAAACAAATGAAACAGGTCTACCCATTATTACTATTATTATTATTATTATTATCATTATTAATTCTTTTTGTTAAGATGCACTTTATGATTAAATGTGGAATTCGTTATTAGGTCATCCAAAAACCTACCAAAATATTTTTTTCTTCGTAAAATAAACCCAGTGATTTCCTTAGTTTGATAGAAAAATTTATGAATTAATTATAACATACCATTTGTTCTATTTCCTTCTATCCGTTCAACTCACTTCCACTCAATTATACTCAGTTATTCATAAATCGGTTTTAAGGAGTATTTCATATAAGATTCAACCTTTATTTTGTTAAATTGAAATAAAGTCTCGTCTAGATTATTAATTTGGATTTTAAATGTGTATTATTAGGTCATACAATCAGTTTGATTATGAATTATAATGGTATTTAGAAATTTAAACAATTAAGTACAAATATCTCAATTCAATGCTGAATAGGTTTTCTTTAAGTTTCAATGAGAGTGTATGCTTTACAAGTTTTCACATACACATAGTCTCTCAGTATTTGCGAGCATAAATTTAGTATTGAAATTCACCTGAACAATACCATTTATAGCATCAACAAAATATATTTATGTCAAACAAAAGTTGAGTCTGTAATACACTCGTAAAATAATCACTAAACTTTAAATAATATGTAAATGTTGCGTATATTTAATCATCAATGCTTTTTAAGAGTTAAAGTCGTTTCATAAACCACTAAATCGAACAGTATTATAGTTGGATATAGCGTGATTAGCGATAATAAACAAATCAATTAATACAGTTTATAATCTATGATAACTGGAAAATTTACATCACTCTGCCTATTTCGATGTAGTTTATTAACCAGTGTATATCAATATAGTAGAAGAGTTTTCTTAACTTTCAAATTGACTCATTGAACTGACAGATTATGCATTAAACTGTTATTCTGAATACTATCAAGTATTATATGAATTCAATATAGTGTTCCGATAATGTTAGTAAGCAAAATTAAAACAACTATCCAATAATAAACTAATCCATATTCATTGTTTGTTTACTGTTTATTCCTCATTATTTTCGGCTTTTTTTTCATGGACTCCTACGAGCACGAATAAGTTTATAAGACTTATTATATCTATATAAATATAGATAAAAATTAACTAGTTACTTTGTTCTCTAACCTTTATTTATTTAAATTTAGATTATTTTTTATATAGATAATGATAATAATTTATATTCTGAAAATAATAATTACAGAATTCACGCCAGTTTACAGGCATGATCAATTTGATATAAATAGTAACATTAGATGTGCAGAACAAACGTGTGATAGAAGAAAGTTTTAAGTATACTAGTTCAGTAATTGTTTAGGTAGTACATGTATTACAGCGATCCAATGCATCAGCCGGGAGTTTTTAATATTTCTTAAATGAACAGCCTGTTGATTTATGAACGGAGTAATTAAGGTCATGTCGTGTGCCAGATCGAAATAATGATAATT